ATAAGTGAAATAAATCAGACCTGCATGTGCAATCACTGCATTGTCTCACTAGTGTAAAACCTGAAGGAGTTAATTTAAGCTGGAAGGTATGATAGACATTGTGAAATGATAGCAAAACACGCAAGGGTAAAGGGCAAATGGGATGTGGGAAAAGAAAGGGGAAAGAAGGAGAAATTTTGTATGTATGTATATACAGGATAGTTAACACAGCAGTTCTACGGTCTTCTATTTCTTTGCTGAAAGAAACTGTCAATGAGTCCTTGACTGATCAATATTGTGTGTTTGTATCTGTTTTCATGAGAAATCACTTTGCAGATATCAATATGTAACACAACAAGCATTGTTAATTCCCTACCACTTTGTTTGTAACTCTCTATTGTCTGTACTGTTCTTTTGTTATTTTGTAAAAGCTTGTCTATCTGTTAATGTTTTCCTCCTTTTATTTTTAAAATAAAACAAAATTAAAAAATAATGACATGTTAATAATATTCAGCTTCTTCAACTATAAAGGTATATCACTTTTCTACTTATGGAAATAAAAATAATACAGAATAAATGGGAACTATTTACTGAGGTATTTATTTACTCCTCTCACAAGTAAATAATTTCATCCACATTCCTCAATCTTAATAATTACTGTCTTTTTTCACAAAAAATATATTTTTTAAATTTCACAAATATTGTCTAAAGTTTTATTTATAATATCTTATTTTTATAAATACATTCATTATGGGATGATTACATCAAGTTGCTGATTATTTCGATCACTACAAATACTTATAAATGTAATAAGTGTGCTATAAAAAAGAGCCAAAGTATGGAAGAGCCCAGATGTGCAATAGCCAAGGTATGGAATCAATCTATCAATGGATGAATGGTAAAGAAAATGTGGTAAACATGCACAGTGGAATTCAATTTAAAAGGGAAGAAATGTATGTCCTTTAGAACAACATGGATAAGCCTAAAGGACATTGTTATAAGTGGTATGTGACTTGCATGGAAAGACAAACTCTGGGCAGTCTTATATATGGAACGTAAGACAGTCCAGTTCCTAAAGCCAGGATCTAAAATGGTTTTCACCAACGTCTAGCATTGGAGAGAGAGATGTTGCTTAGACATTACATGCTATTAGAGTATTAGAGTATTTTAGTTAAACTATTAGAATATTTTAGTTAAACATCAGGAATAAGTTTAGGAGATCTGTTTTACAACATGATAATTATAGCTAATGATAACCTATTGTATATTTGAAAATTAGTGAAACAGTAGTCTCCTGGGTTTATTTATTTTTTATTTTATTTTGTTTTACATACTGTTCTATGTATTCTAGCCAGTTCTAGTACAGTATTGCAAACTGTTTCATTTTGTGTATGGAATATCAGCATATTATTCATCATATCCCTGACCATTAATAAAACATGTAACTGTTTGAATTTCAGGTTTTTTTAACATATGGAATGTAGGCAGTAGTGGTTGCTGCTTCATAAGATTACTGTAAGGATCAAACTGCATTATACATGGAAAGCACTGCGGACTACCTTGTAGAATGAGTACTCAGTAGAAGTTCATTATCATTATTAATTTTTACAAAACATGATTGTTACATTGCATATATTTTAAAAATGTTCATAAACATACACATGTTCATACAATTCAAAGATCATTTAATACATGGTTTCAAATGTGTTTTTATAGGCTATTTTTTCATTTAATCCATTAGGCTTAATGGATTAAGGTTTATACTGCATTTACATTAGGTTTATACATTAGGTTTATACTGCATTTACAGGAGTGATTAAATACGTACACACACAACTCTGCTAAAACACCATTAAGTTACTTTCAATAAATAAAGGTATGTTCAGTTCAGCAGTACTTACCAAATATTACCATTATGCAGATCAGAATCGCAATAATTACTTCTATCCCGAATCCCATGGAAAAGCTTAATTCCTTATTACTGCAGACCTGGGCACTCCCATTGTCATCACAGTCACAAACATGTATTGTGAGCGTGTTCGTACTTGTAAGTGGTGGGATTCCATTGTCAGCAATTAAAATAGATAAGTAGAAAACAGGCTCTTCTTCAAGGCTAAAGCCAGTTCTATTAGTCACGACTACAGCCGTGTTATCTAAAACAAAAATCCATGCACGTAATTTTGCAACCAAACAAAAGGAATTCACACGTCCTATGTACTAGAGGCAACAGCATATGAATGTGTTCAAAGAAATTTTTAAAAAGGGAAAATATCATTTTAAAAAACCTGAAAGTTCCACCCTAAATTTTAATTATGTAATTACATGAATTATTTAAGTCAGTTCCAAAATTTAAGTGATAGTGTCTGATTTTAAAAGAAATCAGACTGCTAGCATTTAATTTATACTGATTGTGTCAGTGAAAGTAGGGTAATTGCATCAGACACTACTATCTCTGCTACTTAGGATGTTTTATTTTCACAAATACTGGAAATTTACAAGATTCACAAGATTCTGTTACCCTTTACAACGTGTAATGCCATATAATTTGTTTTATTTAGTATTTTGCGTTAGTTTATTTTTTCTGATTCTGAAGATTGGATCCAAGGAACACTAAGCTACACCCTCAGCTCTTTTTAATTAATTCTTTTGAATGAAGGTCTTATAATATTCCCATACTGTCCTCGAATTTATGATCCTCTGGTTTCAGGCTTTTAAGTAGCTGAGATTACAAATAATGTGTTTTCTTATTGGAAAAAATATTTCATTTGTTGGTATGTGCACTATTGGAGTATTTCTTTTTACTTTGAATTTGGTAATTCATTTTTTATTTAAGATTCAAAGTATCCTTAAATACAAGTCACACTGATTCATCCATTCAAGGTACTAATGAAAATGTGTAGCATGTACATCAACATATATGATAATGTTCTTTCTTAGATTAAAGTACTTTACAAGACTTTTTTTAGTGTAGTTTCTTGTATCTCCAACTGTACTTTCCCTGTATATTTCTTTGTTGGTGATTTGATTAATTTTTGATTTGGAGTGGCTTTTACAGGCTCAAAAATATGTTCCACAGCCGTCAGACCAACTTAGAGGACAAGAATAGTAAAACACAGAGAAGTTTTACAAAATGTAGCATACTTATAAGTAGTCAGATTTAAGCAGCAAGAAATAGTTCACATTTTTTCAACAGATATGCTATTAAATTACTCATATACAAAAACATTAAAATAATACTTTATGTTTCACTATATTTACCCTGCATCAGCAATTTACTTTATTTTAATATAAAGAAACTTAATCTATAGCTTTTTAATATATTGATATAGGTATTTTTCATCATAAGTACATCTGAGCTACCTTCCCTAGGGAATATAACAAGAATAAATTGGAAAAAATCTTGTTTGTATATACTCTCTCAAAAAAGGAGTCCTCTGGATCTGACCCTAAATTTAGTTGTAAGAAAAGATCATTGTTTGATTTTAAATGCTTGAGTAATTCTTGTACTTGAGATATAACGAAAAGTTAAAATACAAATATATATCATAGCCAAAAGAAATACACTGGCTGTATATAATTAATTTACTTACAATAAGAGGGAGTTTAAATCCTGTTTCCCCATGCAAAATCTCTCAGGATAATTTACCCTTCAACTGATAACAAATAATTTTGTATAAAAAGAAAAAATCAAATCAATTTCATATATATTTTAGCTTCCACTTAATGATTCCAAATATCTGAGTCAATCAAACTAAACTTGCTCTAAATTAAATATATGTCACTTTTTCAGACATAGGTCAGGGATAAAGGCAGATGAGGATGTGGAAGAAACCGTGATGTCAGAACTATAACTGCATTTGCAGGACCAATGTCAGGCTCAAACGACTTCCGGGTAGGGATGGTGTTAAAAGGTGGCTCCAATTAGAAGAAATGCAGTGAGAAATGAAGCCTGTAGTTGCAAAATTTAATTTTGGGTTTTGTTTTTATTTTTATTGTCACTCTTTTGTTGTATTTCTCAACATTATCATGTTGGAAGAACAGTATAAAAATCAATGTCATAAGTCCCATTAAAATCAAATATGATCTGTGGATAATGGATCAAAAATTATTGAGGGAATGGTATTACCTTGATTATCTATGATTGCAAAACTTGAGTTGCTTATGTCTTCAAGGGATAGGTTAAAGTAAAAATGGTGATCTTCTACGGATTCATCTCTATCTACAGCACTGATGGTCTGGAGTATCTAGAAAACAGAAGGAATATAATTCTTTGTTGCATGGTTTCACAATCATGATCATTTATTACTTTTACCTGTATTAAAATTCACAAAATCTCAAGGGATGTCCATGAAGGTAACTGTCAAATTGATGGAGAATATTAAAATGTTTTTCATGATAAGTTGATGTGTACTTATCTCTTTCCAAAGAGGGTTATAATATGACATAATAAGTAATTCTTGTAGATGGTTCAGGTAGATTCCATAAGCACAGTTTGTTAAAAGCTCTCAAAGCACTGCTGATATACTTCAATATTTTCTCCAACCTGCCTTCTGACATTTCTCTCTTCCTTCTTTCATGTTTTATTTTTGCTTTGCAATCTGCATACAAGTCATGATGATTTGCAGAACTTATGTATTTCGTGTTTATACTCAGAAAAAAACTTTGGTAGAGTTATTGGATTCACTAAAGAATTTGCGAAAGTAATGAGTTTTTAAATTGATTTGAGGCAATAATGCTTTTAAAGCATAAGGGCAATGTGTATGATTTCCTTGCACTCATAAAGATTATAGGAAGATTCTTCATCAAATAAGTTATACTCTATTTCAGGTCATAAAACAGTGAATTAATAGCGATATGAACGAATCAGTTCTCAATTATGTCTTTTATTTCAAGACATGAATATGTCAGTCAAGTTATTCATTATTGTCAAAAAAAGATATGCTTGTCAAGATCGCACAGCAAGATTGTGATTAATTTTAGAAATTAAAGTAAATTGATTATAGAAGTTATTGTTTTGAATTTTCTAGAATTAAACTGCTTTTAACAATGTGTCAAACCAAGCAATCTTCAATTGCAAGATGACAGATCCAAATTCATAAAGTTTAACTTCAAAGAACAAATAACATGAGGAGCATTATGAAATGAATGCAATCTCTACATGGAAGTCATGTAGAGAAATATTAAATTGATTCATACTTTTCTTCATAATACATTAATTAAATCATGATCATTTTAACTAATAAAATGAAAACTATTTGCATTGAATGCATGTGTATGATAATAAAATTGAATGATGTCAGTGTAAAGTTTTTATTTCAGAAGGTCATCTAATTTTCCATAGATTGGATGAGGACAATGCCTTAGAATTCAGTGCTCTGAGTTCTGGCTTTGCCAAGTTGTCAAAGCTTAAAATAGAGACATTAATACTTTACTTTCTGGATTCACCTTTATATCATGTCTTAGTGTATCAAAGAATGTGCTACACATGGGTATGTCTGTTGGATATTTTGTTCGTGAAGATACTTCCTATTCAAATTTACATAGAATGGTTTCCTGAGTATTATTAGCAGTCTCTTTACTGAACTAAGTTTGGTAACAATTTGCAAACTTTAGGGCAGGGGATATGACTCACTGGTACAAGTGCCTGCCTGCCAAGTGCAAGGTCTTGAGTTCGATTCCTAATATCAAAAAAAAAAAAACAATTTGCAAAATTCATATTCATGTTGTTGACATATACACACTTGATTTTTAAATAAGAAGTAATGAGCAAACGTGTTAAACTAAACCATTTAATTAAATGTTGAAAGTCTCTGACTTGTGTTTGAATGTTTAAGAATATTAGAAAAATTTTGACTTTGGATATATTTTGAGATCATTTTTGTTAAACAAACTAGCATGTACATGGTAGAAGTATTTCTTTTAGACATAGTGTAAATAATCTGAGCAATATTTCAACACATTTCATATATTTTCATGAGTATACCTGCACTTGCATTTGTTTTATATGCTAAATTTGCTATATGCATCATTGTGTTGCAATGCTTTAAAAAAAATAGGAAGCTAAAAACATAAGTCCACATGAGGTGGTAATAGTTCTAAGGCATTGAACTTGAACATAAGTGACTTCCATAAAAATACAAATCTTTAATTAAGGGACAATATTAATGCAGTCATAATTTTGAATGGGGGTATTTATTGCTTTTTTAATGTAAAATATAGAAAGAATTTTGTGTTCATTTTCAAAATAAATTCTAAATAAATTATTTATTCATTGCATTTATTATATTTCTGAGCTATTCCTTGATACCTAATTACCTGAGGCCCACAGATGCCTTTTTGATTTTCTTAGAGGAAAAAAAGATATATCAAAAAGACATGATGCACATAAAAATCCATGTTTGGAAATACCAGGAGACACAATAATGATTTCAAATTATGGAAGATTTGAGGGCTTTTGTTTTTAATTAGCTCTTTGTTCTCTTGCTTTACTATTGTACAGTTCTGACATAGTACCTTTCATTTTCTATGTACTGTTCTTTGAATTCTATAAAGAAAATATATTTTTTCAGCCTAGGCAATCTAAAATATCCTGTCCTTTAATAGGAACTTGACCATAAGATACACAGTGTTTTATATATTATTTTAGGTAATCTTCACCATGGCACTTTAGAATAAACTTTTCTATTTTTCTTATTTTAAAAAAATACTTATATTACACTTTAACAAGTAAATTGCTTACATCAGAATCAGAATGCAAACTGGTGCCATGACTGCTTTCAAATAGGGCTTGCACATCTGCCCAGGTTGGGCTGAACCCCAGACATCTTCAGGAAACCCGGTGAGTCTGGACTCTGCCTCCCTGACCAGTGTGCAAGGCAGGCAAAACCTCAGGCACCCCCTAGGACCTCGGTGGCAACCCACCACATCCACAGTGTGTCGCCCCAGGCTGGGCTAAACCATGGACATCATCAGGAAGCTTCCCTGACCAGTGTGTAAGGCAGACAAAAACTTAGGCACACTCTGGGGCCTAGGAGGCTCTCCGCCACACCAATAGTGTTTCTTCCGGGGCTGGGCCGAACATCAGACACCCTTAGGAACCTGATGAGCAACCCTGGTTCCTCCACAACTAAGGTGTGAGGCACATGGATTCCTGGACAACTTCTGGGGCCTTGGTGGTCACTGGCAGAACAACTCACACCCCCCTGGTAGCTCAGCTGAAACCTGAACATAGTCAGTGGCCTCAGGGAGCTCACCCTCACCTATCCACTTCCAGTGTGGGAAGCAGACTCTGTCCTGGGCAATATCTGAAGCCTCAGTGAACTTGACCTGCATCCTCCCTACTCTTGTGGAAGCTGGGCTGAACCCCAGACAGTCACAGGAATGCCAGCAAGCCTCCCCTGCTCTTCCCTCACTCTCTTGGGAGCCAACTGAATGCAAGAAAGGTCGGGAGCATCTGGAACCCCACCTTGCCACCACTCACCAGCACAGGAGCTACACTGAGTACTGGGGATCTTCACACTCTTGCCCTGCCACTCACACACAACTGGGAGAGTGAGGCTGCACTCCAGGGAGCCTCTGATCTTCAAAGATGACAAAACGAAGGAGCAAAATGCAATCCTAGACCTCCACACCATGCAAAACAAGTCCAAGAGGCATCAACACAGAAGAGCCTGGAAGTCATACACGTGAAATTTCTTAAATGATAGCAACTAAAGTAAAGAAACAACTCCATCAAGCCATAAAAGACATCAGATCAGAAATAATGTCACAGGTGAGAAAGAAATGACAACAATAATGAAAGAAATCTTCAGCATATCCAAAGATGACATAGACAAGAAAATAGAAGAACATAGACAACTCAGTGAAACCTTCAGGGAACAATATAGAAAAGAACTAAAAGGTACGAAACAGATGCAAACAGATATCCAGGAACTTAAAAATTCCATTGAAAGCTTGCAAAACCACCTGAATGAAGCTGAAGATAGACTTTCAGACCTTGAAGACAGCACTGCCACTAAAAAATGTGAAAGGAGGGTTCTCTTAAAAACAACAAAGAACCAGGAAATAACAATTCAACAACTGCAAGATGAAGCAAAGAGAAACAATGTCAGATTAATAGGTATTAATGAAACAGCAAGTGTCAATACAAATGACATAAAAAGATTATTTGCATAAATCATAGCAGAAAATTTCCCAAGCATGGTAAAAGAATCAGACATCCAGATAAGTGAAGCATATAGAACTCCAGTTAATCATAACCAAAATAAATCTACCCCCAGATATATAGTGACCAAGATCCC